AGAAAAATTAACTAAATAAAGAGGAGACTTAACTTTTAGATGTAGAGTAGGGTAGCAGTGTAGTTACGAAGAAAGCTGGCGGAAGACTGCCAGTGAGAGAGAGAACAGCTGACCACGCCGAACCAAGGAAGAGAAAGCCGGCGCGAGCTGTAGAGAGAGAGAGAGAGAGAGAGAAGCTAGATAGACCGAACTACCTGCCGCGGGCACTATCCTCCCCCCCCACCTACCCCCCCGCCAAAGCACAACATCTTCACCGGATCTAACCGGCTGAGCCCTGGCGTTCACAGCCGCCTAAATAACAAATAAGTTTTTTAAATTTTTCCCCAGATGCTAAGTTTTATATATTTTTCCCCCAAAGCATCTAAAATGTTTCCCTGGATGAAGGTAATAAACTGTTGAATATAAAACTGCAGGAGTTCTACAATCTTAACTTATTCATACCTAATGGTAACTCTAAGGTAAATAATTAAATATAATATGTATCTATATTCACTGATACAGTCCTAATCAGAAAGACCCGGAATTAATTTATTATTAATCAGACGATTTTATAATCTAATTTTACGTTCTTCGTTCTTTGGTATGAGTCGTTTTTATCAATTTTCTCCTTATAGACGCACCAGATAGAAGTAAGATTATTTTTCGCCGTGAGCCTAAACCCCTTTTAATTTTTCGCGAAGACTCCCTTTAAGATTTTACATTTCTTTTATTCGTAGATTGTAGACTGTAGATTCAATTTTAATTGACTTTCCTTTTACAGATGGATATGTCCGATTCACACTTGAAAAGCTTTGTCAAGAGCAGTTTTGTAAACTAACAGTTTGACAATTACAAGCTCTTCTTTATGATCAGATAAAGGTTGTAAGGGTACCATTGTGAATCGGGGAAGTCCCTCTTTAAATGGCAGGTCACTTAAAATTACGGTTTCTTTAAAGGGAGTGACCTGCTATGTAAGGTAGTTGAACTGAGTATGCAGTGTTCTGGAAAACTTCTTTCGGATTCATTTGAGACATAATAAACTTTTTAAAGATCTGTAAATCCTGAGTTTGAGCGCAAATTCGACGTTCGAAACTTCTACTCTGCGGGTAGTTTTTTTTTAATTAGTTCCCTTAAAAGGTAATTCTAAATCCTCTGTTCTAGTCTAGGTTTAGACGACAGCTGTTGTGAATTGGAACTGCACTCATATATTTACTAAATATAGTTAAATTGTAGAGTAGTTTGCGAGACTGTTTAGCCCGGTTTGTTCAGGAGAACAGGATAGACTATACTTGTGAGAAGTGCAGGTAAAACAGGAGTATAGATTTTTTCTTGATATGAGTGGGGGAGGGGGATGGAATTTTATTTTTATAACATACAACTAAAATGTTTTGGCCTGAACCATGAAGGATTTTAGTTAAAATTTCATAATTTCTGAATATTCAGCATAAAAATATCTTGGAGGGTGAAAAAATTTAATTCTCCTCTTGTTCAGAAAAACAGTAAATCTTAAGGAAATGTTCATTAAGTGGATCCGGATCCATTTTTCCAGTGCGGATCCAGGATCCGGATCCTCATCAAAATTAAATGGATCCTAAGCACTGAATATGTGTATGTAATGTATATTTTATTGTGAGAATACATTTGTATAATTAACGTTGTTCTTAAAATAGTTTTTTGTTCATCAAAAGCTTTTCTAATGCTTCATCTTTCCAGGAAATCCGATGGAGCTGTACAAAAAATGGATATTGTTAAACTTCCTCCTTTTCTTATTATTCATCTAGGTAGGTGTTATATTATTATATAAACATACAAGCTCAAGTGCCAGACGTTTTCGAATTAAACAAAAAAGATTGAATTCTTGAAAAATTTATGGAATTTTGTAAGATGAAAAATTAATTTTTTCAGCTTATGTCACCCTCAGGGTACTCATGAATCTTCTCAAACAGTTTTAGCCAAATCGACCCAGCCGTTAAGCCAGTCATATCTAACATATATGTATATGAGCGAAGTGCTTTATTATATTGATTAATTTGTTATATCTTTCAGAGCGCTTTTATCCTGATGAAGAGATATTCAGGGGAATAATATTTCAACATTTTCTCAATTTTATTTCTTTAAACATTTTCTGTTCTTAATTCATTTTTTGAACATTTTCTTTCTGAATATAATTTCTTTAAACATTTTCTTTCTAAATTTTATTTCTTGAAACATTTTCTTTCTGAATTTGATTTCTTTAAACGTTTTCTTTCTGAATTTGATTTCTTTAAACATTTTCTTTCTGAATTTTATTTCTTTAAACATTTTCTTTCTGAATTTTATTTCTTTAAACATTTTCTTTCTGAATTTTATTTCTTTAAACAATTTCTTTCTGAATTTAATTTCTTTAAACATTCTCTCTGATTTTTATTTCTTTAAACATTTTCTTTCTGAATTTTAGTTCTTTAAACATATTCTTTTCTGAATTTAATTTTTTTACATTTCCTTTTTTCTGAATTTTATTTTTTTTACTTTCCTTTTCTTAATTTATTTTTGAACATTTTCTTATCTGAAATTTTTTTTTAATATTTCTTATTTTGAGGTTAAATTTTTTAGCATTTCCTTTTTCTCTGAATTTAATTTTTAGAACATTTCCTTTTCTGAATTTAATTTTTTGGATTTTTCTCCTTTTCCGAGTTTTAATTTTTTAACCTTTACTTTCCTGATTTTAATATTTTAGCTCTCTTGGCAAAATATTGGTTTTCCTAGGTCGGGGGAGCAAAAATATAGGAAAAAACAGAACTTCGTCAATTTCCAGCTTTCAGATCTTAATCTAGGTAAATTCAATTTTAATTCATATTTATTACAGTTAATCCTCGTAGAATTGTTTTCCGTTTCCGTTAAATAAAGGACATTCTGGTCACTTCCCCCCCTCTTCTAGTAAGTTATTTAGGTTAGTTTGTGAATAGGTTTGATCCAAACATTTGAAAAGTTACATTATGTTCTTATCCTGATATTATGGGAAAAGTTACATTATGTTCTTATCCTGATATTATGGGAAAAGTTACATTATGTTCTTATCCTGATATTATGGGAAAAGTTTACAGGTAAAGCTGAAGTTGTTAGATTGTGAAGCAGGAGAATAAAGATATAAATTCTATATTTTACTATCTGCACATTACAGCCTATATGTAACAGTCTACATTAAGGGTGAAACAATTTCTTGAATCATTTTCAAGAACCAAAATTATATTTTTATAGAAATTCAAGGAAGTATTCTATTGTGAACCGTCAGTAATCCAAGCTTAAGTCAGTCTACAGAAAATTAATGAAGTTATTGGGAAGCCTTGTTTTCCCTCTAGAATTAAAATTTTACCCAAAACTAGATTAAAACGTCGGACTTTGGAGTTTCCTTAGTACGACGTTTGTTTTGGTCTGACGTTTGTAAACGTACGAAGTTTGTACGACTGTACTAGTCCGACGTTTGTACTGGTACGAGGTTTGTAAGTCTTAAGTTTGTACCGTACGACGTTTGTACTGGTACCATCATTAAACCTCATTTGCGACGGCCATCTTCATTTTCTTTGGCAAATACCTTTTTTTAACATATGTCTAAGAATTTCTAGAAGAATACTTTTTTGTTTCTTGAAAAGGATTCTAGAAAACAGATAAGTTTTTCCCTTGTCTACATACAGTTTAGTAAACTAGTGTAAAATGTTTTCCCTTGTCTACATACAGTTTAGTAAACTAGTGTAAAATGTTTTCCCTTGTCTACATACAGTTTAGTAAACTAGTGTAAAATGTTTTTAAATTTTAAGGTGATTTTGTTTCTGGCACAGAGAATTCTTATTCGAACTTCAATCTGTATGCGGTAAGATGGTGGCGGTAAATAGTTGACGGGAGACGGGTGACGGGTGTCGAGTGACGAGTGACGAGTGACGAGTGACGAGTGACAGTAGACGGGTGACCGGTGACGGAAGACAGAGGACGGTAGGTAGTAGACGGTAGGTGGTAGACGGTAGGTGGTAGACGGTAGACGGTAGACGGTAGACGGCTCAATCTGATTGTAGATGTTAGACGATGGATTAGATATTTCCCTGATCCAATGTATCAAATATTTACTATCAAATAAATCTAACAAAAAAATCTTGTTTTTTATTACTAAAATATACTTTAGGTCTCTAATCATTTTGGAAGCCTTGAAGGAGGGCACTATACAGCCGTGTGTTACAGTAAACACATGAAACGGTAATTTATTGTTTTAGTGACATTTTAAACTTCTTACAGTCTTAGTAATCGTAGAAATAAGAGAGAACAAAATTGTTTTAACGTTTTCTCTCTATTTTCAAAGGTCTATTTTTTATCGCTATTATTTTCATCATTATTTTATGATGCAAATATTAATACTAATTATGTATATGTTGAAGGTGGTACAAATACGATGATCAAGATGTGACGTCTATAAGTGAAGGGTAAGTCAGTAAAAAGATTGGGGTTTAAGGAGGTGGGAACTTTTGAACAAACGGAACCAGCTCAGATTAATTAAGTTTGGATTAATGAGGTGGGAACTTTTGAATAAACGGAACCAGCTCAGATTAATTAGATTTGGTTTAAGGAAGTGGGAACTTTTGAACAAACGGAACCAGCTCAGATTAATTAAATTTGGATTAATGAGGTGGGAACTTTTGAACAAACGGAACCAGCTCAGATTAATTAAATTTGGATTAATGAGGTGGGAACTTTTGAATAAACGGAACCAGCTCAGATTAATTAAATTTGGATTAATGAGGTGGGAACTTTTGAACAAACGGAACCAGCTCAGATTAATTAAATTTGGATTAAGTCATTCTCTCAACAAAGAATTTCGGTCAGAGTTAGGCAAACAGAAATGGAAAATCCCTTCATCACTTTTAATTTTTTACACCTAGATAAAATTTTTCCCTTTTTATTTTTAATATTTAGATCAGTACAGTCCTCTGCCGCGTATATTCTTTTCTACTCTGCTACGAACGCCAGCAATTCTCTTCTCCCTTTAGGTATGATTATCAAAATAAACTATATTTTTAGTGTTATATTATTTAATCAGATTTATTATATAAATATGCTCAAAATTATTCTTTAAAAATATTTATCAAAGGGTTTCCATTTTAAACTTCTGATTTTATTCCCTAATTATAGTCCCGGCTCTGCCTGGCCTGGATAATAAAGTGAATCTCTGAGATTGTTGGATGCCATGTATTGTAAATATTGTATAAAATTAAATATATTTAACATTTTTATCAAGGGTTTACATTTTTTAACTTTCCCTCTACGGGGAGGGGGAAATGATTTTTCAAGGTTTCGGAGATAAATTAAAAATTTGATATCATCTAAAAAGTTTTTTCCTCCTTTCAATGCTATTTCCCCCCGAAAAAAAATGTTCCTCCAATTCAGCGTGGAATCAAAATTTCTAATTATTTTTACAGAAATATGTATATTAGATTACATACTTCTTAATTTGTATTTTAGTAGATTTCAAATCTTAATCTGTTTTAGGCTAAGATGGTTGAGTAGAACAAGAGCTGGACAATGTATTTCCAAGAAATCAACCAGGAAATCATTACTTTTTTTGCTTTCCGTTTTATTCTTCTTATTATCCTTTGCTTCCTGTTTTATTTTCTTATCATCCTTTACTTACTCTTCTGGTTTCCGTTTTATTTTCTTACCATCCTTTGTTTAATCTACTGCTTTCCGTTTTATTTTCTTATCATCCTTTGCTCACTCTTCTGGTTTCCGTTTTAGTTTCTTATCATCCTTTGCTTACTCTACTGCTTTCCGTTTTATTTTCCTTTCATGAAAAGCCTCGTGTCCGTTTACTAAATCATCCTTCACTCATTTTAAAGCTTTCATTTTGATTTTTATTCTTCATTATTATCCCAACAACATAGTTCTCTTTTGTATTGTAATCTTGTCGACTTCGAAATAGAAGCTGTTGTCTGTGCAATTTACAAGATTTTGTTGTCTTCCTGCTGCTGTCCAGCTAGTTATATTTTTATATTTTACCATTATTAGTTCCTTTAATTTTATATTTTGCCATTAGTTCCTTTATATATATCTGTTTTTGGAAGAAAATGATTTTGTCCAGCCTACTCTGGAATATGTTCTACTAAAGCCCATTCTCATCATAAACTTTGATTGAATTATAGCAATATATTTATAGGTTAATATAATTCTAGGATTTTCTATTGCAATCCTTACTATAAAGGATTGCTTTATAAACGCACGTTGGGTTTAAAACTAATTTCTGGTTATAAACTTACAGCCCCCCATCCCCCACCATTTTTTGTTTGTTTTTTAACAACTACAATTTAGCATCGAATAAAAACGTCGATTTTTTTTGGTTTCTCGTCTAATTTTTCAATATATTGAAAGGGGAATAATTTGAACTCGACGCCGCGAGGAGAAACGTTTTCTGTTCGCCTAGCCTTGTCTAATCTTGGAGAGTAGAAACTTAGAATTATATTGACTTCTGAACTGAATTTGATTCGTGCTTATAATCTGTTCAAATTATATTAATTATGTTAAAACACACGAAGCATTCCTTGTAAACAACTCGAATTCTTGCATGCAAATTATGTAGTAAAGATAACGATGTAATTATTAATATTAATTTTATATTTATTATATTTCGATAAAAAAATTGTGATATTTTTACAAATTGGATGTACATTTAATAAAGAAGTTATGATCAGAACACATTCTCAGCATCTATTGAAATCAAATCTGAAATCAAATCTAATTATTAAATTGGACATATTATAGGGGCTGTAGATGCAATCTGATGCAATCTCAAGTGAACCTGCATTTTAAGAGTGGTAGATACACCAGGGTATCCTTAAAAGCTTTGTTTGACTTAGATATCTCCAAAAACAGCATTTCAATTGTAAGGTTCTAAACATATTTGAGCGGTGCAATTCTACTGCAGTAAACAGGTATTAGAATTTTGTACTTTTTGAACTTGAAAGTTACGCCATTTTCCATAATATTGATCAGATAAATATTTCAAGAGAACCTGCGTGAGGCGTGCTAGCTTTAAAGAGATTGTCATTTATTGAGTAGGCATCGAGAATAAACATTGTCAGTATGAAAAAATTGGTAGATATACAAAGGACAAAAAGTAAAAAATTGTTCAGTTTTGATTAAGCTAAAAAACTAATCGAACTTTTGTTTTAATACAGGGTCACCCAAAAAAGATGAGATTTGAGAAACGACTTTGTTTTGGTTTCGGTAAATTTGTTTTTTTTCATCAAAACATTAAGAGATTACCAAATATAGCCGTTTAATCATAGATAAATCGTTTAGTAGTTTTTCAAGTTTTACTTTACATCTAAATCTAATAAGTAGTGAAGACACAAAATATATAAAAATAAGATTTTGAATAATACGTCGTCGATAAGACATATCTAAATGAATCTATCACTAAAAATAGGATTATTCAATAAAAATGCGACTATAGACTACTGCAGGGAATTTAAAACAACAGCCCAATGGGTTTTATTGTTTTTTTTGGGCTTTTCAATTAGAAAGTAGTTAAAACCTACTAAAGTTCATGATAATTCATAACATTAAAACTATTTAAGCAATATATGAACTTTTAGTTATGAAAAATAATAATTTTGTGATAATATGGTATTCTTAGGAGGAAACCTTCAATTTTTTTATATTATAGATCTTCACATTTCAGACTAATTCCATTTTCTCACTTGAATACATATTTCTGATCGGGGGTTGAGCGAGTTGGGCTACTCAGATTAATCGATAGATATTTATATGCTTAAGAAGGAAGACCACTGACAATTACAGAAAATCTTCAGCTCTGATGTTGTTCTGTGTATCTTCTTGGGGTTTTCAAATATCTTAGATACTTGTTATAACAAAAAACCAGCACTGCAGATGATTGAATGCTTCCAAAAATAAAAAATATTCGAATAAGGAAATGAATAAATAAGTCAGTTGTTGTGCTGTGAACTCCTAAAAAATCAATACAGTTGGTAGTAGACCTTATTTCTTGAAGACTTTATCTTTTTAAGAGTGAAGAAAAGGCAATAATTAGAAAAATTCTAAAAAAAAACCAAACCCAAGTAAGCCCATGTACTTACAGTGGGTTTTATTGGGTTCCTTTGTGCTGGTTTTTATGCCAACATTGATTAAAAGACTATATTTAAGACAGAAGACTTATTTTACGTGTTTCCGGTCGTCTTTAAACACTCATTCACTATGGGTAACCCTGTTTATAAATGATTAAGTTCCTCACCTTGTTCTGTAGGTCCAGGGCTTTTTCTCCGGAGGATTCAAATATATCTTACAGGAAACAAAAATAAATTGTTTTAGTCAAGGTTTTATTTTATTTTTATTCAAGATTAGGAATAAAAATATGTCCAGGGATGTAAACACGCAAAAAGCAAAAATTTGGACATTTTAACATGATTTTCTGTGGGACAATACAATAATAATATCAGAGAATAAGCAACATATTTTATACCTCAGATATATCCTTTTTCGCTTCAAATCCTGAAATTAATGTAATTAGATATTACAATAAGTTAAATTAAATGTGATAACAACTTTTTACACACAAAAAAATTCATTTATGCTTTTTGTTGTTATGTTTGAAATCACAAAAGAAATAGTCTAAGATGTCAACGTTTTCTGTCCTATCGACCAGTGAACAGTCGTTTTATTTTCTTACATAAAGTGTTGGATGGGAAATAAGTAATAACTGGCTTGTTTTTCTAAACTATGGTTTTTGAAATTTGAAAAGTCACCACAATATACTTTTCATGTTAAAAGTTTTCATTCATGAAACTAAAAAAAAACTTAATTATATAGTCGTCGTCGTCGCTTATATCAATACAATGATGACGACTTTTGCTTTCAATTTTCATTAATATCAAGCTTTTAAACAGTATTGATACACATAGACATGGATAAAAAGAGAAGCTGTCAATTAAAAAAGCTTCTCTTTGATTACTTGTAAACTTGTCATTTGAAAAAGCTTGTAAACAAACAAAACTTAAAGGGTTAAAATTTGGCTAAGTGTAAAGAAAGCAAATTTTTAGATTTTTAATTATTAATTTATAAATTTCTCAGATTTATGTGGAACCTTTAAACAGTCTAAAAACCTTGAAAGTTTAAGGAAATGAATGAATTGATAGTGTCCGATACTAGTCATTTCTTCTAGATTTTCTACCTGGGTTTGGGAAGAGATAATGAATTCTGGCCTTGCCACTAAAATATTAAAAATTATACACTTTTTATTCTATAACCTGATTTCCATAATTTCAAATAATTTCAAATGGCATAATCGATTAACAACGGTTGATACGGAAGCACAAAAGACAAAAGTTATAGGGTACCGTTGTGAATCGGACATGTCACTCCACAAAAAGAAGGTGTTTAAAAATTGTCTACAGTACCTTAATTAGCTGATAATAAATGGTGTCCTACCCTGGTCCTATTGAATCCAGTGCAATTGTAAACCTTATTGACATGGTCTACAACAAAAATCAAAAGTGATAGTATAGAAGGAATGTTTTTTTATAATCCATTTCTTTTATAGTATTTTTACGGTGTAGAATTTGTATTAGCTTAAGTATTTAGTCGGGTAGGTTTTCAGCTTCTCCCTGTATCAACAAAACTGCATAATATCGTATTTGCTTCTATTATTTCTCATTGTTCGTTTCTAAACTTTTTGGCAGACAAACTGAGCTTAAGAAAATTTCTAAAATTCAATTAAGATTTTTTTCAATTTTGTATGTTTTTTCTTTCCGGTCTCCTGCCCTTCCCCTCTGTCCCCAATTCTTCACCCCTATCCCTTCCTCCCTCCTCTGTTAAGCAATCAGAGAGAGGAAGCTTGCAGCTGTGCTTATTCTTTTTTAACTTTTTTTTTTCTATTCATTTATTCATTTAATCATTCCTCTTTCTCTGATGACTGTGCCTACTTTCTTTTATATTTTAATTCCATTTAGGAGTTTACAATATAGCAATATTAAGAGAATTTTTATAAATCTTACTTTTTATATTATTGTAGTCTTTTGAAATTCTTAGTAATGGATTTTTGATAGATTAATTTAATTGTAAGTTAACAAAAACGCTAAAAATGTCTTTACATATAAATCAATATTTTTGTTCTTAAACCTGTATTCCGTGGGTGCTTCTGCTCCTTCGATCTGAGTTTTTTTTTATGCTAAAGGAGACTCAACTTTGCTGTAATGGACTTTCGATATTCTTTATTTCGTTCTGGAAGATAAACAATGGAATTTGTTGTTTTATGTAAAAAATAAATAATTATTTTTGATTATTTCCCTTAATATCGTGGGCTGCGTTCCGATCATACTAGAAATAGAAATAAACATTAGTTTAAAGGGACTGTTAAAGATAAATGGAAGTTCCTTAAAACTTTATCTTTAAAGTTTAAGTTTAAATTTAAGCATTTTTTGGAATGCAATGGGGTGAATATAACCACAAGTCAAGATATTGAAGGGTCACCCACCGATTGTTTGAAGTTTAAGTGTACTGTTAAAAGACCCCACAAAAATATTGTGAATTGGTGAAATTTTCAACATTTCAAAACTGTACTCTGCTTTAAATAAACTATGCTAAGAGAAAATATATAAGAGAGAAAACAGAAAACGATATAGTTCGTTTTTTACATATATCTTCTCTTCTAGGTTCAAAATTTGGCTTTGCAATTTCCTTACAAATGTTTAGAATAAATTTTAATAAATCGTAGCACTTCCAAATTTTTTTGTCAAAATTTTAAAAGGTCCGAACACCATTTTCAAAGTTATTGTCTATCTCTATTTACCATGAGACTTGAGATAAAAAACTTTGAAATTTCAAACTTTTAGAGATTTTTATGAAAACTTTAAAGAGAAATAAAACCTCAAAATATTTTACCAATAATTCCGCGTCATCGCCGTTGAAGAACTCTTCTCTATTTTTTATGGGTTTAACTTTTGCTTGTCTAAAAACAAACATTGTTTATAAATTAGCTTATTTAAAACTGAATCAGTCCCGGATTCTTTTGATCCACGTCCCTGGATCCGGATCTGCGAAACAATGGAGATCCACAGATCCGGATCCAATTGCCAAAATAAGAGAGAAAGAACTTCATAAATCATACAATTTAACTGTCAACCAATGAGACATTGTTAAGAACTTCCTAATAATTGCATGGTAAAATGGTAGGTTTCTGATACAAAAAGCAGCAAAGACAATAATTTTGAAAATATGTTTTTGGTAAAGAAAATTATTAACTTAAAGAAATATTCGTGATCAGGATTAATTTCTTTTACAAGAAGGATTATGGATTAGGATCCATTTCTACAGAACGGATCCGGATCCATTTTTTACAGGAAGGATCATGAATCCGGATCCATTTTTCACAGGATAGATCACGGATCCGAATCCATTTTCACGGGACGGATTCAGGATCCGGTTCCTTTTTCTTACAGGACGGATCCAGGATCAAGATCCATTTTTAGCAGTCGGATCATGGATCCGATTCCGGGTCAACTGATTAAAAGATATTGATTTACTTATAATTTTGTCCAGTGTAGAGGAATTTAGGTTCGACAAGAGCTGTAACCACCCCTGAATGAATGAATAGATTTATGATTTTTTTCACAAATCATTTAGATTTTTTCAAGTATTTTAAGACTGTTCGCCCTTTTTACCTGGTCCAGAAATTATATCTACTCCAGTGACAAGACGTACTTTCTCCTGCAAATGACTGATACGAGAGAAAAAAAAACAATAAATAAAAAAATTGCAGCCCAAAAATCATAAATGTAAATTTTGAAAGATACCTTGAACGGTAACCAAGCCCAATTCCAAACCATCTGAAAGATATTATAAATTGACAGGAATTATAACGAACTATACAGAATACGGATGTAACTCTACGTGACCCTCCTATTAAATATGCATGTCCGATTCACACCGGTACCCTGTAAATCTTTATCTGAGTTACAATTAGGAAGATATTGTCGTTTTTCTATTCCTACATCATATCATATACCCTTTTACAGGTCACTTATTTTGTAGAAATACCACGTCCACGTCCACAACTGAAAATAATCTATTTTCAGGTAAAAAGAATTATGTCATTTCGTTTGTTCTTGATCTGACAAAGTTTAGACGGGTACCTTGTGAATCAAACATGTCACTCTAGAAGTGGATGTCACTAAACATAACATCAATAGTTCCTTTCAGAATAATTTTTAAAAAAATAATTAAGATCTCGTAGTGATAATAGTATTTTTATAAAAATGTTTTTAAACATTAATTATTTTAATCTAATATTAAGCGGAATCAATTTGTAATCTTTACCTTTCCGACCATCCTTTTGTAGCAATAGTAAACTGTATTCCACCTTTCTTTGAAATAGGATTTCTTTATTTTTATAATATTTAATAATATGATACAGTTAAACCTTAAATGAGCCTTACATCGAAAGATTTTTCAATGGGTTTTATACTATTTTACGCAAATCTTAGTATTTGCGAAAATACATAAATAGCCATGAGCATGCGGGAACAGTTTAAAAGAGCTCCATATAATCATTTAATTTAAAAACTAAATATCTACAACATTCCATTATCAGAAAGTGAAGAATACGACATTTGATGAATTCTTTCGATGTATGGCTTATTAAGGGTTTAACTTTAATAGGCGAAAAAAAATTTAAAATGCTTCAAGAAAAAGGACTGTAACTACGTAATATTTTATTTATAGATTGGGATGTCTGATTCACCACGGTACCAATTATGTCTGAGCAAAATAAATTATTTACTTTTTTTAAATACTTGATAATTTTGAAGCACGGTTCACTTTAAAAATGACTTGCGGATTTTTCCTGAAGAGACATTGAAGAAACTTGAAAGAAATGTTATTGAAAAACGACGACATTTCCTTGTTGTTCTTTCGATAGATGGCTTAAGGGTGCGTTATGATTCGGGAATATTACGCTTTTTCCAATTGAAGGTCGATCTTGGAATTACAAATTATGGATCGATACAGTCCCTTAAAGTAAACAAGTATAAACTACTTTAGTCTTAAATTGTAGCAGTTTACAAATATACTTGAGTTGGTTTGCCTTTATTTTATCTGTAGCAGATGCTGCTTCATTTTTGTTTTATCATTCTTTGAAACGTACAGTGAAACCAGAAAACTCTGGAATAGGAAATATCTTTTAGTTATGACTTTAAATAGTCCAATGAACATACGACACAGCAAAGATTTAGTGAAAACAGACCCATTTCACCTGACTAGTGATTTAATAAGTTAGAAGTAAACTAATTTCTTTTAACAACATTAAATACACTTAAGTATTGTTTTTATGTCGTCTTCATGATCCACAGTTTTCTGGTTTTCACTGTAGCTAACATCGAGCAAATTTCTCGTTCTCAATGTAGTTAACAGTAAGCGGCTGGACTCGTTAGTTTTTATTTCAATTCATACGGTTAGATAAAAAGGTAACTGACAGGCCCATGTTATCGTTCGTTTTTAACTAATTTTTAACTTGTTAAAAATCCGATTTTTAACGATCATTGAAATTATACCTTTCGTTTCCAGGTAACAGAATACTCACACTCTTCCTCTTCTGAATATAATAATTAAAGGGATTGTCCACGGAATTCTAATCGAAACTTTAATCATGATCTAGAATGCTAAGAACGATTTACAACAGTATTCGTTAAACGGATGTTACCCGTGAATGTCTACAACTCAACGAACAAGCAAGAAAAAGGGCGAGATTGTTCCAATTCTGTTTTTTTCGATGAAAGTTTTTAGTTTTTTGTTCAATAGAGAACGGATTTCTATAGAAATGGTAGAATAAATTTAATGTTTTTGCATTGCACTCGTAATAATATACAGCAAACTTTTTTCCTAAAAAATAACATTCTTTATGTAATGTGTCTTTTTAACTGAGGATGCACGGCGGTGAGGAGGAACTATCGAGCACTCATAAATAGGGCAATCTTTAATGCTTCATTTTTTAAGATGCTCAACACTTTCCTTAAACTCTTAGTTTCTAAACTTTTGATATATTTAACTTAAACTAACAGAACCAGTATAGTAAAATTCAAAGTTTGAGATGTCTACACACAATGTCTGCTTAAAGATATACGGATTAAACAACTAGAGTTTAGGGTCAATCATCTTTCCATATTTAAAGAAATAAATTACGAACCTTTACAATTTTCGGGATATTTAAAACAACCACAATATCCACTACATTTAGGCAGATCATCGTAGTCTAAAGATTATATATCATTTTATAAGAAGAAGTTTTTAATTAATTAATTTTACAAGAATTTAAAAGGTTGAAGGAACTGTCGTCTAGATTCCTAGAGACCCTCCGTTTAAAGAGGAATATATGCAGATGCACGATTCTCAACATTAACCCAAACCCTTTATCTGATGAATAATGTGGAAGATATCGTCGTCTTTCTACTTTTAAAAGGGGTAAATTAGGGAAAAAAATTATTGTTTATGCTTCAGAAATCCGCAAATCATTTTTGTAGAGAACCCACAATTAAAAATAATAAATTTTTAAGAAGATTTTTGTAAAAATCCGACAAAGAAATAAAACAGAAAAATCGCCGCTGCAGTTTTAGACTATTATTGTTGATAACTGCGTAAAACATTTTTTACTGATTTTTGTAGATTTTTTTAAAATCTACCTTTTTTAAGGTTTCCGAAATCTAAATCTGTTCTTCCAAACAGGAAATAGTATTCGTCCCTTTCCATGTTGTCCGCTGAAAATGTTCACTTATTAGAAAAAGAAAGATAAAACATGTCGATTTACTTATAATTTTGTNATAAGTCTGACTTTATATATAAAGAAAAAGAAAAAACATGTCCGACTTTTTTATTTAGAATTTTTTTCCACTTTCTCGTTTAAAGAATATATCCAATTTCTGTTTATCAAATACTACATTGTACTATTTAGAGTGCTCCGCTCTGCTTCTCTAACTGTATTATACCCTTCCGGCCTGATGCATACTAAAGTACCAAACAACTCTTTAAACTGACAATTTGAAAAACATACAAGAAGGTAATCTGAACACTTGATCTCGATATCCGCTGCGGACACTTTTAAATATGAGGATACACGCTTGAAATACGATATGACGATCAAGTGATATTGAGGAGGAAATTAAATTCATTCATAAGATGAAGATTACTGCTTGATACCAAAATTTACAACACAATTAATTAGATTTTTAGAGAGTTTAATGACCAGAATAAATTTGCACAGTGCACAAAGGTTGAAAATACCTGGATTTCCAAAATCCACATCATAGCTGAGTTCTCTTCCATCATTTTCAATTTCAACATCTTCTTTATCTTCTCCATCTTCGTTATCTTCTTTACCTTCTTTATCTTCTTTATTTTCTCCTTCTTTGTCTTCTTGATCTACTTTATTATCTCCTTCCTCATCATCTTTTTCCCTCTCCTCGTTACCATCGTCATTATCTTTGTCCCCATTTTCCTCTTTATTACGATCGTAATCATCATTGTCTTCAGTTTCATCATCCCCGTCGTCAAAACTGTAATCAGACCCGGAAACTTGAGAAACTTCTTCTTTCTTCTTCTCTACAAAATTTTTAAAAAAGGTCTCATTTTTCTTTTTCAACAAGTAAAATGTGTAGATTAAAAATACACAAAGAAAGATGAAAAATGTCGTTTTTTAATAAACTTACCCGGTCTATTTCTTGTCTTTTTATCAAGTTTAACACCATGCGTCTAAATAAATAAACAAATTATCTAAATTCTCTATGCTTGTAAAATGAACTTAATTAATAATTAACACATCAATATCTTTGCAATCTAATGTCGTAGAATTTTGATATTTCAAACTATATGAAATTGAGTATTGATATTGATCAGCCAACGTTGAAAACATGAAAGGTTTACATAAACAGGTTTTAAAGATATAGGATTAGAAAATTAAAGTTTGTCATTTAAATTTCATTTTTAAACAAATACGGATAAGAAAGTTAGAGGTTACAATTTAAATGTCATTTAAATGTATATAGACAATTTAAGCTAGTTAAATGAATTTACAAACTATAAATGAAATTGCGAAATTTGCTTACAAAGATTTTAAATCGGTACAATTTTTATATATTTGAATTCGTTGGACTTTTTAAAATTGTTTATATCATATTTCGCGTAATTTTAGTTTTTGTATACATTTGTTGTTTAATGAATTGATTTTGCATAACAAATTTGTTTAATTCCAGATTCCAAATCACAATAAGGAAATAGTAAATTGGAATAATTTTTCAAAGGTTTAGAGCTTGTACACCATGTACGTGCAGCATTTACAGCATGTACAGCATGTGCTGCATGTACAACATGTATAGCATGTACCTGAAGTTCTAACAGAAAGTTTGTTTTATTCTTTAGTTTTGCAAGAACATAATTTTTTGAGTGAACTCCACTTTTACAATAGCTTGAGATTTGAGATCATTACATTAAACAGTACAGAGGTTAAAAGTACCTAGAACCTTTTTAACATGAATCAAAACAAAATACAAAGCTGAAAATATCCACCTCACGTTGTCAAATTAATTATGAACTTCTGCGTGGAGCATCGTTAATAAAAACATTTGGGAATACACGTTCAATCCCTCAAACAAAGTGATCCCTTCAGGGATTTAACAAAACAGGATTTCGAATTTCGAAAAGGAATTAACTTAATACGTAGATCTGCATAATATTGAGATCAATGCTTGTGGTTTACAATACACAAGTTTTAACTTAAAACGTCGAGTCCTCTAGTCAGAATTCAAGGCAATATGAAATGTATCATTTACTCTCAAACAAATTAGAATCATTAAATCCCGAGGGAATTTTAATTTCTATTGATTCTAATTTGTCTGAGACCAAATGACATTCCTTTGAAAAAAATAACAAATTATTTTTATTATTTTTTAAATTTTTTTATAAGGGGCGGGATTAAATGAAAATTGTTGCATACCATAAAACCAGCTTTTTATAAAGGAATATTTCTTTCTTTCACTATCATTTTTTTCATAACATTTAAATTACCCTCTCTTAATTATTTATTTGAAAAGGGGAATATGGGCACATTCCCCTCAAATGACACAAACTTTTAATGGGGATTCATGTCTTCATTTTTGGAGCTATTTTCACAATATTTTGCATAAAAGTCTTATTAGTAATTCACTCTAGAACTGTTTTTTCAAAATATTTTCCGCATTTTGCTCATTGTTTTAGAAAAAAATAAATTTTCTCTTGATTTTAATTACAATTTGGGCCTGTATTATGGGGGTAATATCCTTCCTGATTTTTTTGATGAATTAGCTTTTTGTTTTTTCCCCTTGTTTGTATCCCGCCATTTTTCCATTGGAAATTCAATTTGTGCTCCTATCTTCATTTATAAGTTTTGCTATTTATTATTTTGTAAACTTTGGAGCCAAATCATAATTGTGATTAACTTTCTAGACTAAATAAATGCGCCAAAAATTATTCCCGGATTTTTAACATTTTTTTCATTGATTTCTTGCATTTAAAAACTTTTGGGCATTTCAAATCAATAAAGCAAGACAAAAAAGTTTATCCTCCATAGAAAAAAATCAGAAAAAATGGGGTCCAATCTTTATTTTTTTAAATAATCTTCTCAGATTCTGTATGGAAACTGGAATATTGATTTATACAGGTTGGAGGAATATGACTTGTATATAAAGAAGTAGGATATACAGGTTGAAGGAATATGAATCTGTATATAAAGAACCCAAGATATAGGATATACAGGTTGGAGGAATATGAACCTGTATATAAAGAACCCAAGATACAGAATATACAGGTTGGAGGAATATGACCTTTATGTAAAGAACCCAAGATATAGGATATACAGGTTGGAGGAATATGAACCTGTATATAAAGAACCCAAGATATAGGATATACAGGTTGGAGGATTATAAACCTGTATATAAGAACCCAAGATATATGATATATAGGTTGGAGGAATATGAACCTGTATGTAAAGAACCCAAGATATAGGATATAGAGGTTGGAGGAATATGAACCTGTATATAAAGAACCCAAGAAAAAGAATTTCTAAATATCGGTAAAAGTACAATGCATTCGAAAAGTATTCAGTCATTCCCATTTTAAAGGACAAAAATGAAATCTCCGATTATAATTAGACGGGGTACCCCACATGTAACAAAATCAAAAAAGTTGAGAAAATGCGGGATAAATTTTGTTGTATTTTAAATTTTTAACATTTTTATAGCACAGTCCTAGAGTTAATCACTAATTTGACTATTATGCAAAATCTCACGGTAATAGCTCCAAAAATGAAGGCGTGAATCCCTATTGAAAATGTTTGCCACTTGAGAGGAAATGTGCCCCCTTTTGAATTGTTCTTCATGTTACTTTTACTGAAATAAGATTCTCAATTTTTCCTTTGATTATTTAATAAAAGTGTTAAAAATATTATTGTTGAAATAAAGACGACATTATGCATCAAAAAGTCCATTCTATTCTGAAAAAGGAAGGTTTAAAATTTAAACTTTACGAACTCTGCATGTTTTTTTTTACTATTTTGAAACTAGTTTTTTCTTTCTTTTAAAAAATTATTTTTTGCTTATCAGATTGGATGGATGTCCAATTAACAACAATCCAATTTCTGATAGTTTAACTACACTAATATTCGAGAAATTGCGTCTTTCTATTACTTTTTTTCCCTTTCTAGTCCTTCCTAGTCCTTTGTATTCGTTTCTGTTCCTTTCTAATCATTTCTAGTTCTTTCTAGTTCTTTCAATTCTTTTTTATTTTAGTAATTTCATCATTGTCCGCTCATTCTAGCCCTTCTTTTCTGATCCTTCCTTTCTAGACCTTTTTCTAGTCCTTCCATTCAGTCCTTCCATTCTAGTCCTTCCATTCTAGTCCTTTCATTCTAATCCTTCCATTCTAGTCCTTTCATTCTAGTTCTTTTATTTTATTTCTTCCAGTCTAGTTTTTTTCTTCTTTCATTTCCTATAAATACCTCCTTTCTCACACTTCCATTCTAGATACTTACATTCAAGTAATTATTTTCAAGTTTTACCTTTCTAATTTTCCAATCCTCAATTTCTGTCATTCATTTTTAAAATATCATTCATAGTTTTTCCATTATTAATATTTCCTTCAAGTTCTTCTGTTCTAGCCCTTTCTCATTACTTATATTCTTGTGTTACCTTTCTATTCCTTCCTTTTTAGTCGTAAATTTAAAACTTGTTTTCTATCTCTACCTTCCCAGGCCTTCTCTTTATTCAATCCTGTTAAAAATTCACAAAAATTTGTTTTAATTTTGTGTTGAATCAGGACTGGTTGACAATCAGTATTACAACTAGTTAGAACTTTGTTTATTTACAACATGTAAACACTGGAGCTGGAGGATTCAACAATTCAATTCCACAAATTAATTATTTGTTAGATAGAGAATATTTTTAACGAGCTAAAGGGCCCGGGCGTTCCCCGTAGAATTCTAAAAAACACTTAGGGAGAACAAGTTAGCATTGCAAAAAAATTTAGTTTTGAACAAAAAATTACTTATGGGTTTCCTCAAACAATTCAGCCAATTTGGTTCAGCCGTTTGACCATCTATAGATATTATATGGATGAATTATGTTACACACTTTTAGACAAGAAAATTTTTTTTAAATTTCTATAACACAAACAAGCCTGTAGACAAACAAACTAAACTTGTCCGTGTCTACTTTTCAGCTTGCAGAGACATTACATCTAGATATGTCAACGTTTTGATTTTTCTAGATTTTAGCTTTCGTTACTATAGTGTTCATCAAAAGTATAAACGATTGAAACGTTACGTTGCACAGTATGACATTTTATGACGTAGAGTAATGTTACGTAATGAATTTTCTGCACTTGAATACCTTATACAACGTTAAGCTTTAGTAAATGTTAGTGAAACAACAGTAAGCTCCGTTACGCTTTTCCATTTCCTGTTTTAAACACTTTCCCAACTTATACAACGTTAAGCTTTAGTAAATGTTAGTGAAACAACAGTAAGCTCCGTTACGCTTTTCCATTTCCTGTTTTAAACAACTTTCCCAACGTTGCGTTAAAGCTTTAGTAATATAACCACAATTTTTAACGTTCCACTTTTATGCAAGGAAAATGTTTTTAGAGACCTAACGTTACACTTTCACTCGGGTGGAAAACTAAAAGGTGACGAAGGTTTTGTTTAAAACGTCATTTAGGCATAGTTCTGCACGTTGCAAAGCATTTTAGTGCAAAGAATATCTTTTATAAACGTTACGTTTTATCTTAACTTTTCCAATATAAACTCTTTTAATTACGCTTAGGAATTTTACTAAAATGCAACTTTTCTTATGTTACGATTTATCGAAACGTTATTGTGATAACTTTTTTTTGTTACACTATTTTACACATGGATATGTAATAAAATGGATGGATCATAGACGAGTTTGGATGTAATTTTCTGGGTGGGGTGTTATGTAGTACATTGGAGTTCTAGCAGACAATGGACCCCGGACTCTCTTTTGCATAATTTCTTTCTTATTTAGCCAAACCGTTATACTCCCCTGAATTACAGAAGGGAGGGGGGACGGTTCGTTTAATTCCCCTGTTTAGTTTTCAATGTTTAAACTTAATTTCAAAGATAGCTTAATTATCATTGCCCCCCGAACTTTTTAAAGGCTTTAACATAAATAATACTGAGGATTCAAATTTTGACAGGTGTGGAGGGATGGGGTATCCCCAATTCCATCAAGATAAAACTAGAAATATGCCACCCTCCCTTGAAAGTTACGCATGACCAACGAATGTAATGCAAGGAAAGTTAATTGCAGTTGCGTATACTCTGAGTACATATTAAAACCAGTTCTCTCTGGCCTTATTGTTCGTTTAGTATCCGAGGAGATTAAAAGTAACCAGAATATTTCTTTGATTATATTTATGTTAAAGAAGGATCCCATGCCATCCATCTAATCGTTCATTTTTTATTCATTCGTTTAGAAAACACGATTGATTTTTCATTTCTCTGAACGATACAAATCGTTCGTCCCGATTCTTTTCATCTTTAGAAAGACACCATTGTTTAAGACAAATTTAGTTCGTTCTCAACAAAAATTTCGTTCACAAAAACGTTGCCCATATCTACTGGATACTGGATACAGCATTATACAGTATACAGGATACTAGATACTGGATACAGTATTATACAGGATGCAAGATACTAGATACTGGATACAGTATTATACAGGATGCAAGATACTAGATACTGGATACAGCATTATACAGGATGCAGGATACTAGATACTGGATACAGTATTATACAGGATGCAGGATACTAGATACAGGATACAGCATTATACAGGATGCAGGATACTAGATACAGGATGCAGGATACTAGGTACTGGATACAGTATTATACAGGATGCAGGATACTAGATAGGTATAGATATAGATATAGATATAGATTACACAAATATAAATAATAATTAACAACAGGAAATTCATTTATTAGTAAATACTTATGTTACAGAAACGGAAACATGGAATACATGGTTTACATTTAATTTATTTTTGAAGTATACAATACATCAAATTCACAATTTTAAAAGATTAAATCTACAATGCTCATATAATGATTAAACACAATGATTATTAAAAGAACTGTTTAGTCAAATTGGTTAACATTTTCATAATAAGTTTTAAAGTCAAATAAGTGTAAAAGTCAAATCAGCTTAATAGCTAAAAAGTGAGAACAAAAATGGCAATATTCAAACAGTTAACATAGTCAAAAACTTCGCTCAGAACTTTCACGGTCAAAAGTTCATTATTTACAATGTTATATATTAAAAAAGTCTAAAATTCAATAAAACTAATAGTCAATAAATTACATAGTCAAAGGTCAAAGTAGTCTAAATGTAATAATAATTCAATTATACAAAGATTAAATATTAGAGAATTGAAAGTCAAAAAAGTTTAATAGTCAAAACATTCAAATAGTCACAAACGTAAAAAGTCATAGTAAAAAAATTGCATGATTAAGAACTTCCACAGAAGTTTAATGTTAAAAAAAGATAATCAAAAAGTCTAAATTTCAACTAAATGAAAGTCAATAAATAAGTCAAATATTAAAATATTCTAAATGTTACATAGGTTTAAACAAGTCACAAATATAATAGTCAAAAAGTCTAATAATTCAGCGTTTATATAGTTACAAAGTTTAAAAATCAAAAAGGTTATATATTTAAAACCTTATTTAGTAAAAAGTTTCTATAATCAAAAGATCCTTAATAAAAGTCCAACGTTACATTGTCAAAAGCAACGAAGTCAAAAGTTACATACAGTGAATCACAGATATATGAATACATAGCAAGAGTTTTTCATGGTGTCGTATTCTCATCATATTTAAGATCAAATGCCACGGGAAACCGAGTTTACTATATTAATTGCTGTCCGGCATATTTCAGGGCTATTGATTTATCTTGAATTAAAAATAAAAAGCAGTTAAAAGTCCCAGTCAAAAATTCCATTGGATCTTTTATCCATAGTTATAGCTTACATAGTCAAAAGGTCCATTATCAAAAGTTTCATTGTCAAAAGTTATAAAGTCAAACTTGCATGGTCAAAAGTTCCAAAGTCAAAAGTTCCATAGTCAAAAGTTACATAATCAAAGGTTACATAGTCAAAAGTTACATAGTCAAAAGTTACATAGTCAAAAGTTACATAGTCAAAAGTTACATAGTCAAAAGTTCCATAGTCAAAAGTTCCATAGTCAAAAGTTACATAATCAAAAGTTACATAGTAAAAAGTTACAAAGTCAAAGTTACATAATCAAAAGTTACATAGTCAAAAGTTACATATTCAAAAGTTACATAGTCAAAAGTTACATAGTCAAAAGTTACATAGTTAAAAGTTACATAATCAAAAGTTACATAGTAAAAAGTTACAAAGTCAAAGTTACATAATCAAAAGTTACATAGTCAAAAGTTACATAGTCAAAAGTTACAAAGGCGAATGTTGTTTTTACAATGGCAATAGTTTCTTAACTAGCATCACATTATAGTAAACAATATAAGGCAAAAGTCAGTTAAAAGGTAAAAAGTGTAATTAAAATTAATCTTTAATCTTTTAGAGATTTAGATTGTCGATAGTTTTAAATGCTTAATTTTAAAGTGATTCGCCATTTAAAGAGATGGATGCCCGATCAGCAATTGGTCCCATCTGATAAACAATGTGGAACCCTTTAAACAGTTAACTGATCAAAAAGAAAATTGAAAAAAGCTTGAAATTAAACCTGCACTCAGAAGTTCCTTTATTTTTCATAATAAAAAAATCATTGAATACGGAAATCAAACAAGTTTTACCAATGTAATTTTATTTCAAATTTGAAGTAGGAAGTCAATCAAAAATATTACAATGCTTACATATCTAAGCCATAAGTCAGTGATTTGTTAAAAGTCCGTAGTTTGATTAAATTCGATAATAAAGCCAGTAGTATGAAT